TTTTTTTTTTTTGGCAATTTTAGCTTTTATATCTTTTGCATGTACTATTTACCTTTTTATTTTGGTTTTAACCGTGCTATATATCACTAGAAGACTATTCAAAACCACTACGAAAATCATAACCATTTAAAAAATTATAAGTGGGGCCTGTGCTAAGCACAATTTAGACTCTCCTTAGTTGTAATAATTAGAGGCGAGTTATTGTTTTAAAATGACTTTAATTTGGAACTTCCATTTGCTTGAAAGAGTGCGATGGAGTGAAATGATGAAACAAGAAATACTTTTGCAAATTGTTTACCCGTAAAATGGTACAGTTGAATTTATACGTGGTTTCTATACAAGTGAACTAATTTGATCCTGAAATAATGCAATAAGTGAAGAAATATACAATACTTAGCCTTGAAATGTAGATGAAACAACAGAGATGACAGTTTCGGGAACAAGGTTTCTGGGCACAGCAATGATGAGATCAAAAAGTAAAAAAGTAAGATTGTATTAAGCTTTGTATAGAATGTAGTATAAGTTTAGCTAGAAAATTCGTATTCCTTACAATGATAACTGAGCTCACTATTTATAGCTATGTCTAGGGAAGGAGGTCTTAGGATCGTGTCCTCCTATAATGTCAATTATGAGAGTCATTGATGAAATTGTAACAGTGAACATAAATGCCAAATTCTCTATAAAGGACTGTCGCTTTTAATGATGCAGAATATTTCCTATTAAATGCTATCGGGCGCAGGGCATTTAGCACACCTTTATGAACATTATCCTTTCCGGTGTCAAGCGGAATGACTGCGTTCGCTTTTCGTCCATCCCCGTCTTGGGTTTCACATGTCCTCCCTTTAGAAGACCAAGTGTCATATCATATTTCACCCTATACAGATAGTCCCCCTTCTTTCCGGTGATATATTTTTGTGTTACCGAGAAGTTAGTAGAAACACCTTTTTGGCGGGAATTAGTATAACTCCCTCTGAAAGTTTCTGATAGTTGATTAGGCGTACGTCTCTCCGCATTTAATACCCCGAACATGCGTCATCCCATGATTCAACACAGCTTTTTTCGATTATCGAGGTAATCATGGCCATGAATTTAGTCGCCAAAATTTTAGTTATACGCAACATTCTTTTCCTTTGTGTTTCATAATTTTTCGAGCTTCTGATTTGTATCTTTGTTTTCCATCCTTTCTATAATTCTCTTCAAACACAAAACCTTTTTCTTCTTCTTTATCAATGGCTTCTTCCTCCAAGCGTGTTGGTTCTACAATTCAAAAGAGAAAATTGGGCGGTTTTAAACTAAAGTTTCATAGAGTGAATTCTTGAGTTTTGAACATCGATTCGAAGTCGGATTTGAGTTAAACTAGTATGGTTGGACTCGTAATTGAATGGGTTGTCGGATTTTGTGAGTTCTGTCGGGTCCAAGGTACGGGTCCGAGTTTGGTTTTTGGGTTGATTTTGGGCTTTTGATTAAAGATTCGACCTTTATCAATTGAGTTTGTTTCCTTTGGCATTATTTGATGTATTTGAGTTGCTTTTGGCTAGTTTTGAGCCATTCCGAGGTCGGTACGTGCAGGATGGCATTTTGGAGCATCGTTTGGCTTGCTCGGTATTGGATTTGGCTTGTTCGAGATAAGTAACACTTCTAAACTTGGTGATGAGGGTATGAAACCCCGAATTACGTGTTATGTGTTTGGTATTGAGGTGACGCACATGTTAGGTAACAGGCGTGTGGGCGTGCGCCGTGTAAATTGTAACTCCGTTATTTCTGTGATGTTGTGTAGTTACCCGATCTTACCTATAACCATAAAATCTCTACGTACTAGAGCTATTGAGTTGTGATCTATGTTAGAAACCATGTCTAGGCTACATGCTTATCCTGTTGAGACCCACCGAGGTCATTTCTGTTGTTGAATTATATGCTTACATTGCAATTACATACTCAGTCATACGCATTCATATGCATATCATATCTCGGTCTCTGTTACCATTTATTGATACATCACATCATTATTGTTGGGCTGATTTCATGACATTGTGAGCCCGAGAGACTGGAGAGATTGATGACTGAGCGAGGCCGAGGGCCTGATTGTGAGGTTATTGATGGGATCGGGCTGCACCTCGCAGCAAGTATTATTGATTTATGATGAGCGAGTTTGTACACCGCAGAAGATGTTATTGATTTATGCCATGATTGGCTTATTATAGGGCTTGGACAGAAGAAACCTCTCCGGAGTCTGTACACACCCTCAGTGAGCGCAGGTACCTACTGAGTTCGAGTGCCGAGTGCGAGTGCTGAGTGACTGTGAGGACTGAATGACTGTGAGGATTGAGTGATTGAGAGGACTCAGTGCACTGATACACCGAGAGCATGCATATGGTTTATTCAATGCATTGTATTAGAGTTGGCATTTATACATTTGCACGTAAGCATAGTGATGTACTTTCCTTATGCCACTTGATAATGGAGCATCTTACCTGTTGTTGGAAGTTTTTGGGAAAAATTACAGTTTTCAAACTTACTCACATTTTTGGCGATTTCGATAAAAGATTTGGATTTTCACTGATATACTTGAAAAGCAGGCCTATTTTCTGGAATTGTGAACGAGCTGAGTATTTTATCTTTGAGTTATTTATTTTATCATTTTCATTATGTTGTTATGAACTGTTGTTGGCTATTGGTGTAGGACTTCGACCTTTGTTCCAGCTCATAACTACTTTCAACCTAAGGTTAGGTTTATTACTTATTGAGTACATGGGGTCGGTTGTACTCATACTACACTTCTGCACCTTGCGTGCAGATATTGGCTGATGATGTTGCTATGTTCGACGGGAGCTGGATTTGAAGTTGTACCAGCGTTCTGGTTACAGCTTCCTCTTGTTCAAGAACCTCTAGACTTATGAAAGATTTGTTCATGTATATTTCATCGTACCAACTTTGTAAATTCTAAATCTTAGACACTCATGATTTGTACTACCAGTCCTTGGGAAGCTGTTTAAAAGCTAAGTTAACTCATCTTTGACTCACATCAGTATTATTATACGATGTTTTATTGTAAATTGGCTTACATAGCGGGTTGGATTAGGTGTCATCACGACGGTCTGAATTTTGGGTCGTGACAGAAATAATAGATCATAGTGCTTTGCTTGAGGACTTGACTTACATTGTATGATCACCTTCCCTTTTTATTGGATCTTAGATTTTGGATTGGCTTGAGATTTGGAGACTTGAGGCACCCTAATCCTTTTCTTTAATTTTTAGTTCAATGTTTACATTTATGTACTTTTCGTAGTTGAGGTTTGTTGTCGTTTTTAGGAGTTTTTATCAAACATTTCTAGAACTTTTAAATATTATTTCTCGTGATTTTATGATTAGATGATTTATCTATTGAGAAGTTAATGCCTGGAACGAGTGGTGCGTGGGCTANATGATTCGTAGTGAAGCTGATCACTCTGTGTTTTATCGGCACTCTGCTTCAAGTCTCTGTATTTATCTGGTAGTCTATGTTGATGATATTGTTATTACTGGCAATGATCAGGATGGTATTACCAACCTGAAACAGCATCTCTTCCAGCACTTCCAAACTAAGTATCTAGGCAGATTGAAGTACTTTCTGGGTATTGAGGTTGCCCAGTCTAGCTCAGGCATTGTTATTTCTCAAAGAAAATATGCTTTAGACATTCTTGAGGAGACGGGGATGATAGGTTGCAGACCTGCTGACACTCCGATGGATCCGAATTATAAACTTATGCCAGGACAGGAGGAGCCGCTTAGCGATCCTACAAGCTATAGGCGACTGGTTGGAAAATTAAATTATCTCACAGTGACTAGACCCGACATTTCCTATCATGTGAGTGTGGTAAGTCAGTTTATGAATTCTCCCTGTGATAGTCATTGGGATGCAGTTGTCCGCATTATTCGATATATAAAATCGGCTCCAGGCAAAGGGTTACTCTTTGAGGATCGAGGTCATGAGCAGATCATTGGATACTCAGATGCTGATTGGGCAGGATCACCTTCTGATAGACGTTCTACGTCTGGATATTGTGTTTTAGTAGGAGGAAATTTGGTGTCCTGGAAGAGCAAGAAACAGAATGTAGTTGCTCGGTCTAGTGCAGAAGCAGAATATCGAGCAATG